TGAACTCGAAATAAGTGGCACTAATATCTACTATATTAAGTACTCCTCTGTCCCCCCCCCCCCAAAAAAAAAAAATTTGATGTTTAAAAAAAATTATATTTAGGGAAAATAAGTTGAACTACTATATATTAAATTGCTCATATGTATATAGGTTTCCTTTGATACCGTGGGACGATATTGGACGAAAAATATGGTCATCCACAAGATTCAAGGTGGCTAGCTTAGCATGGTCAGCTCGAATTTGAGATTGTTTCATTAAAATTCTATAGGCCCTGTTTGTTCTTGTGCAGACTGAGCAGTGGCAATGTGACATTCTGGTTCTCAACGGTTGCAAGAGAAGGTGCAAAAGGCCCAAACAAGCAATGTGTCGGAGACAAGCCCAAACGGTCCAAGCTAGGAGTAGAACGAAGCTGGCTCAAACGACAAGTTGAGCCGACAAACACCGTATCGGAGTCTCTATTGGGCCACACTTCGATTGAATTATAAATTACCATTATGTTAGGCGTGCCCAACCAAAAAAAAAAGAACAGATCAATCTCATTTGCCAATATATCGTGATAATAAGACTTAGTTATGGCCCAAATAAAGCCCACACTTGTTTACATGCAATACGGCCATACCAAATGAGGACAAGCCTGGCTAGCCCATTGGGCCAACTTGTCGTTCCACCCAGGCAAGGCCGAAATGAGATCGATAATGATTCCACCTGGGCGTCTGTGCGGCCGGACGCGTCTCCCCACTCGCTACGCTTGCTCCCTCTCGTCCGCACCCAGCCGTCCGCCTCCACCGCGCAGCCTACTCCCACTGCCCTGCCCCGTCAAGCGTGCCCGTCTCCACCAACCGGTGGCGACCGCGAGCCGACAACCGTGCTCCTCCGCGCCTCCCGCCTGTCTTCTCCACAACCCCGCCCCTCCCTGCCATCCTCCTCCCCCACTCTGGCGTCCTTCTCTCCCACTGCGACGTCCTCCTCCCCCACCCCGGTGTCCTCCTCCCCCACCGCGGCGGCGCCCCTCCCCCGACACCGGCGTCCTCCCTCAAAGGGAGTTCCCAATGCCCTCAGATCCAGCGGCCATGGCGCGCCCCGCACCAGGCTCTCTCTCTCTCCCCCTGTGTTGCAATTGTATCTTTCAATTGTTTCTGATGTTTCAGAGGTATGTTGCATTTGAATTATATGGATGTTGCAAAAGTAGATCGGGGATGTTGCGCATGTTGCATTTATTTTCAGAGGCATGTTGCAATAGTATGTTTCGAGTGTTTCAGATGTTTCAGAGGTATGCTTCATCTGTGTTTTTCGGACGCATGTTGCAGTTGTGTTTATCTGGATGTTACATATGTTGCATGTGTTTCATTCGGATGTTGCGTATGGTTGCAATGGTTTTCAAGTGTGTTTCAGGTGTGTTTTTTAAGTGTTTCAGAAGCATATTTCAAGTGTTTCAATTGCCTTCAGACGTATATTGCAACTGTTGTTTTTGGATTTTCAAAAGTAGATCGGGTGTTGCATCTCTCCTCCTCCCACCTTTTGCTGCATCGTCTCTCCCAGAGCCGACAGGGCATCCATACGAACGAGGGATGGGCGATGAGCGCGGGACAAGGGAGCTTCGTATGGACGGACGCTACCTTCGGAGCGGGATGGGAGCTGGGGTGGAGGGGGCTACTTACGTCACGATTGGGAGCAGGGGGCCGCAAGCGTGTGGTGACGTGGGGCGCGGCGAGCGCTCTCTCCTATTGCGCGGACGCGATTCTATTTTACATGAGGGGGGGCGGCGGGTGCGTCGAACGGAGCCGCGTCCGAACCGGTGTTCGCCTAAACGGATTAAACGGCCGTTTAAACGGCCAGTAAACGGTAAACGGTGGTAAACTGTTTTGTTTAGGGGGTAAACGAAAAGATACACATCATTAAATTGATGGTAAACAGTAAACGGTAAACGGTGGTAAACTGTTTTATCAATTAAACGGTCAAAAAAGGGGGGAAAACGGTCTAAACGGCCTAAACGGAACGGAGATAAACAGCATTAAACGGGCTAAACTGGTGTTTAAACGGCTGTTTAGGCGAACACGAGGTAAATCTAGTTCAGTTTTGTATAGATAAATTTGTATACTTAAGTTTATTATATTTATAAATGTGTACACTTGATATGTTACATGCATAAATATCTATATTTAGTTCTTTTCACATGCATAAATATATATACATACTAAAATAATTGATGTTTACTCAGATAAATATGTATAAATCCAAGAATACTTGATTTTTTACATGCACATATATAATTATATGTATTTTTTTAAAGTATAAAACCGTTGAGACCGTTTAACTTCATTTAAACACCATGTAAACAGCCTAAACGTTAAACAAAAAGTGACCGTGTAAAGATCGTTTAGTGTTTAGGAAAATATTGGTCCGGACACAGACTTGGGCCGGACATTCAGGCGCTAGGCTTGCCGAAATGTGATAGATGGCGGCCGAGAAAAGCCTACCTGGCGAACATGTTGGCCTGCTGGGCCAATGTGGTTGCAGAGGTACACAAGCTCACGTAACTAAACGTTCTAGTATTGGGCCGTGGGCCGCTTAATGATAAATGAAACGGGCGACCTGAGGCCTGCATACAAACATTCTGCGAATAGCTTCCCCTAAAAAAAACATTCTGCGAAGTAGCTGCTGGACGTACTCAAACCCCAATCAGTTGATCCAAAAGAACAAGACATTCTTGTGTAACTTTAAGTGCCATATGATTTTCAGAAAAAAAAGTGCCATATGCTCCGTACTAACCAATTTTGTGCTCCGGCAAACAGTCTGAAAAATCTTTGTGAACTTGTCCCAAAGACACGTACTTTGCTCACTTTTCTCTGAATACAGTTTTACTAGTCAGCTTGGAAAGTCGGAAGTCGGCATGCAGCAGAAAAAATGCAGAGAAGAGACTAGAAAGTGAATTTTTTTAGCAGAACCTACGCATCTTTATTAACCAGGAGACGTGTAGGAGTTACAAACACCATAAGGTGGACTCAACAGCCATACATGCCGACCTAAGTCGAGCATCAACATTGGAGTCCCTCTTCTCATGCACGAACTCAACGCTAGCGAAAGCTGATCTTCTCGCATTAATTTCTTGAACAATTTGCCCATAGACATAGGCTGCCTTGAAGAATATTCTTCACGACGTTTTGGTTGTCACTCGCCAATCTGAAGTTTGCTACTTGAATATCCAGAGCGAGAGACATACCTTCCCTACAGGCAATAGACTCCATCACCTCCGGATCTGATATCCCCCTTAGCACCAGAGCCAACGCTCCCAGGAAACGACCATTCTCATCTCTAACAATTGCCGCAGCCGACGCTTTGAGATCGTTCTTGGAGAGTGCAGCATCAACATTTATCTTAAATTGCATCTACTCAGGTTGCTGTTCCACCCAGGAAAGGCCATCAGATGGAAGGCGGCCCAGAAAAGCCTACTTGGTGAACATGTTGGCCTGGCCCATATGTTGATCCAAAAGAGAGAAAAAAAATATTCTTGTGTAAGTGCCGTATAGGAGTACTCCGAACTGACCAATTTTGTGCTCCGGCCAACAGTTCTGAAAAATCTGTAAGAAGTTAACCCCAACACACGTACTGTACTCAGTTTGAAACACCTGAGCTGAGCAATCCATTTTCTCTGAATACATTCAGTTTTACTAGTTTGCTTGGAAAGTTGGAAGTCAGCATGCAACAGAAAAACCGCACAGAAGAAACTAGAAAGTGAATTGCATGCCACCTGTACCTCTGCATCGAATCCAAGAAGAAAGCGAAGTTTGTTTCAAAAAAAAAAAAAAAGAAGAAGAAAGTGAAGTTCCTAGTCCACCTGAAGGTTTTTTTTTTTTTGGGTAGTTGTCTGTGTGATGAACAGATGATGGCCTTATCATTGGTGGTGGCTCATCATTCAGAATTCAGATGGAGTCCGGATGGTCAGACAGACAAACAAAGACAATCCCGCGGGTCTCCCGGCTGGCACACCTGCACCTGCACACCGTTGGGTGGTATTCAATTCAGAGTTTTATTGGAGCACGCCTACGCCTGCCCATCCTCCCTCCTCAAAGTCTCTGCCTTGTATTAAACCACGGCCTCGTTCTGGCAGCGATTCCCGGGCCGGTGAAAGCTCCGCCGCCGCGACAGCGACGCCGACGACGACTGCGTTATTATTCTTTACGCAACACAACCACACCACACGGCGGACGGAATTCCTGAAGCTACTAATTCCCAAACTGAACCTTCCTCCTGCTCACTGCTGTCACTCAGATGGGTGTGTGATTTGGAGCATGCATGTGAGCTGGACACGTTTTATGTTTTCTGCAGTAAGAGAATGAATGGACTGCTGGAGGAGTCCAAGAGAATGTTTGGTTTGTCATGGAAACAGGCGCCAAACAATCTTACTCATTGACGGACCTCTCACCTGTTCGCTTACTTATTAGCTGGTTTAGCAGCTAGAATTTACAGTATTTTTTTTGCACAATAAATTAGCTTTAGCCGGCTTATCAGCCGGCTTTGATACCAACCAAAACCGTACTTACAAAAAGACAAAAATGCCTGCCTGCTTACTGTAGTATTATCTTACTGTTACAACTTACAACTGCAGAAGATGGACATTTCTTGGCCGGTTATTTCAGGCAAAATAATCTACTAAGCCTAAGCCTATTGGTTTCAGCTGAATTGACTTATAAGTTATGGCTGAAAGTACCGCTGGCTGATTTGGTTTAGTGTGAGAGAAAAATATTATTTAAGCCATGAATTATAAGCTAAATACGAATGAATAAGCCGAAACGAACGTGCTGCTTACTGCTACACTACACATGCTCATGCTCTGCTGCTGACTCTGTTCACCTCAGCTGACAGTGACAGCATCTCGTTCTCTCCTGCCTCCTCTGACCGAGCGCGTCCTCGTATCTACGTACAGCAACTACTCCGGTTGGACGCCGGTCACCGCCGGCGACGGACACGGCGAAATCCTACGGCGTCATACAATTCAATTTCAGACCACCTTGACCCCCAGGACCTTGGCGTCGTCGTCCTCCCTTGCGGCGGCGGCGTCCTCCAGCATCTGCACGACGGAACGCATGGACGGGCGCATCGACGGCGTGCGGCTGGTGCACAGCACGGCGACGCGGAGCACGCGGACGGCCTCCGCCCTGGCCCACCCTTCCACGATCGCCGGGTCCACCAGGGACATCACCTTCTCCCGGCTCTCCAGCCGCCGCGACACCCAGTCCACCAGGTCCCGGCTCTCGCCTCCCTCCGCCTGCAGCACCGCCGGCCGCCCTGTCACCAGCTCCAGGAGCACCACGCCGAAGCTGTACACGTCGCTCTTCTCCGTCACCTTCCACGTGTACGCGTACTCCGGCGCCATGTACCCCAGCGTCCCGGCCACGACGCCGGCGGACGAGTCGCCGGCACCGCCGGACGAGCTGAGGATCTTGGCGAGCCCGAAGTCGGCGAGGCGCGGCTTGAAGGACTCGTCCAGGAGGATGTTGCTGGACTTGACGTCGCGGTGGAGGATGGGGCGGTCGCAGCCGTGGTGGAGGTACTCCAGCCCCCTCGCCGCGCCCACCGCCACGTCGTGCCGCTCCGCCCACCCGAGCCCGCCGCCCAGCTTCCGCCCCGCCGCCGCCCCGGCCCCGTGCAGCCGCTCGTACAGGCTGCCGTTCGGGAGGTGCTCGTACACCAGCAGGCTCGCCGCGCCGTCCGAGCTCGTGATGCTGCACAGCAGCTTCACCACGTTCACGTGCCGGATCGCGCTCAGCGTCCCCACCTCCGAGTCGAACTCGCGGCACCGCACCGACGCCGTCCGCCGCGCCGCTCCGCCCAGCATGACCGCCGACGGCGCCGTGCTCCCCGCCGCCGTCGCCCTTCGCGTGATGTGCTTCACCGCCACCACCGCGCCGTTGCCCAGCTTCACGCGGTACACGTTCCCGGACCCGCCGCTGCCGATCAGGTTCTCGTCGCGGACGCCATCGATGATCTCCTGCTCGTCGAACGCCAGGATCCGGAACGACTTGAGGTCCCAGGACCCCTTCTTGGTGAACAGTTTCCCCGCGGGCCCCAGGCCTGCGGCGGCCTCCGCCGCGCGCCGCCGCTTCTGCAGGTATATTGCCACGCCGAGCACCGCCAGCAGCACCGCCGTGACGCTGAGGATGCACGTGACGGCCAGGCGCGCCGCGTTCGCCGACCGGCTCCCGGAGCTCGGACCGCAGCGGCGGAGGAAGCCAGCGCCGTTGGTGGCGCACAGCCCGGGGTTCCCGACGAAGCTCTCGCCGTAGGCCGAGATCGCTAGCGCATCCGGAACGGGTCCGGTGAGATGGTTATCGGACATGTTCAGGCTGCTCAGCTTCAGCGCGGCGAGGCTCGCCGGCACGGCGCCGGAGAGGTCGTTCCGGGAAACGTCGAGGGAATTCAGCCGCTGCAGGTTGCCCAGCTCCGCGGGGATCGCGCTGGAGAGCTTGTTCCCGGTGACATTGACCGTGCTAAGCGCCGAGCAGGAGCCCAGGCTCGCCGGGATTGGCCCGCCGATCGCGTTGCCCCCAATGTCGAGGCTGGCGAGACGGGACAGCCTCCCGATGCTGTCTGGTATCTCGCCGGAGAGCTGGTTCCACGACAGGTCCATGGTCTCGAGGCTCGCCGCGTCGCCGATCGACGGCGGTATCGCGCCGGTGAACCGGTTCCTTGCGAGGTAGAGGATGGTCATCGCGGCGGCGTTGCCAATTCCGTCGCCGATGCTGCCGCTGAACTGGTTCCCGGCAAGGTCGATGACGTTGACGTTGGGGAGCGCCCACAGCCCCTCGGGCACCTCGCCGGAGAGGCTGTTCTTGCTGACACGGAACCTGACCAGCGTCTTGCAGCTGGCGTACGTCTCCGGGATCCCGCCGGAGAAGTTGTTCTCGAGCATGAGCAGCTTCAGCATGGTGCCCTGCTTGCACATGTCCGGCGGGATGGGCCCCGAGAGCGCGTTGGTGGACACGTCGATGAAGTTGAACGGCGCCCAGCTGCCGAGGCTCCGCGGCAGCTCGCCGGTTAGGTTGTTGTTGTAGAGGGACAGGTTGACGAGCTCCTTGAAGTCGCCGAACTCCGGGGGCACCTCGCCGGTGAAGCCGTTGAAGAACAGCTGCAGCGACACAAGCCGCGTGAGGTGCCGGAGCTCGGCGAGGGTGCCTGTGAGTTTGTTCTGCGACGCGTCGAAGTACTGCAGCTTGGTGAGGTTTCCGAAGCCGGCGGGCAGCGGGCCGCGGAGCGAGTTGTTGTAGAGCTCGAGCTGGGTGAGGTTGGTGAGCCTGGCGATCTCCGTCGGGATCTCGCCGGCGAGGTTGTTGTCGGAGAGCTCGAGGTCTTCGAGGTTGACGAGATCGCCGATCTCCTGCGGGATGGCGCCGCCGAGCTTGACCGCGGACATGTAGAGCACGGTGAGGTTGGTGAGCCTCGTGACCTCGGCCGGGAACGCGAGCGTGGGGGCCAGGAACGGGTTGTCGCCGAGCGCGAGCACGGTGAGGCCCGGCGTCGCGGCGAGCGAGCGCCACGGGAACGCGCCGTCGAAGCAGTTGGAGGAGACGTTGAGCCTGCGCAGCCCGGTCAGCGGCGAGAGGTCCGGCACTGCGCCCGTGAAGCTGTTGAACGCGAGGTTGAGGTCCTCGAGCGCGGTGCACGCGGCGACGCCGTCGATGCCGCCCGTCAGGGAGTTCTCCAGGAGGGAGAGCGTGGCGAGGGACGGCAGGGACGCGCAGAGGTCGGCGAACGGGACCGTCGCGGCGGACAGCTTCAGGGCCGGCAGGGAGAGCGCCGTGACGTTGCCGCCGGCGCACGTGACGCCGGTGAAGCCGCACGGGGATGCGGTGGTGGCGTTCCACGTGGCGAAGATGGGCGCGGCCTCGGGCGGGACGGTGAGCGCGGCCTTGAAGGCCAGGAGCGCGTCTGCCTGGGACGACGACGAGGAGGAGGTCGCTGCGGTGGCGCAGGTGACGATGGCGGCGGCGAGGAAGAGGGAGAGGAGGGGGGAGGCGGGCGGCATGGCGCCGGGCGTCGGGGAGCGAAGGATGACGCGTGGTTCGTTGGTTCCTCGGTGTCAGTGTGCGGATGTTTGACTGGTTTTAAGGTGGCAGTACTCGACGTTCCTCACTAGGGGCCCTCTCTCTGGGCTCTGCAGATGCAGCTACTAGGCAAAGTGTTAATGATAGATGTTCTGGACCGGATTAGGAGTAGGCAGCAATGGTTTGGATTATATGGGGTTAATTAGTGGGGAGAGAAAGCCACTGCTGAAAAGGAAGCATGATACTCTACGAATTGTAATCAACATGTGCTTTGCTTAACTGGTGCCATATGTAGGAGCAACACAAAAGTGCACATGTTTTGGAAGGATACTCAAACCATCCACAAACAGTGTGTAGGTTAGAAATTTTAGAATATATTTTAGGTAGTGGTAGGCGACGTCCCGTCGACAACGAGACGTCTGTGGTGACTTTATGAATCTCGTGATCTGCCGGCTCATTTTTTCGGAGGTGCTCATAGTAGGGGTAGGGGTTGCGTATCGTGTATTCGTAGAGGTGTGTGCGTGCGTTGTGAGTGTCTGCGCTGTACTGTGTAATTCTAAAAAAAATGATGCATGTGACATTTGTTGACATTAAAATTTGGTTCAAGAAGAAAGGACCCCGAGGTCAAAATTATCAAAAAAAAGGCCGAGATACTCAACAAGGATCGGCTGACCAGGTGGCCATCAAATAAATAAGATGACGTCATCGTTCCAAAGGAATGGGCCCTATCGGTCGGATCAGCAAGATATGAAGCAAGAAGACGCGGGCTCCATAGAAAGAAAATATTGGAGTCCAAGTTATCTTAAATTAGGAAGTTTTTTTTTTTTTCCAAGTTTTCATAACCGGTCTTGTTCGACTAGGACTCGTAGTCAAGCCTCGGGTATAAATAGTGAACCCCGGCTGTTATAATAGACATCTCTCATTGATCAACCAAACAAGTACCTTTACTTTTCGGCTCATGTCACCCCTTAGGAGTAGGAGTAAGAGTAGATTTCGATGGGTTCTTTGGGCAAGCAGGGCTGCATCGGACGACCGACCTCCAGCTTGTTTGTGAGTATCTGTCACGACTTATATTATTACTTGTGAGGCTACAACAGACGACTGATCTCTTGCAAGTCGCGGTATAAGTTAGTTATCGATCTATATTTTTATTTGTAAGGCTGCAACAGATGACCGATCTCTTACAAATCACGGTATAGATTAGTTATCGATTTGTATCAACCTTTACAAGGCTGCAACAGACGACTGATCTCTTGTAAACGTTGGTATTGGTCAAAGTTATCGATATTGTGTTAAATAGTTTACTGTTTAATATAATATCACTAATTGCTCAATCCAGATTGAGATTTATTGGTCTTATTATTTTGATCTATCGTCTACTGATTATTATCACAACTGAATTCAATTCTTGACGTTAGATCCTGTTTGATGACTAATCTATCTCGATCTTGATCGTACATGATGGGTGCTCGAAGTCGTGTTCTGTTAAGAGATAGATTCATTGATCGCCAGTATCAGGTATGACTCCGCTATCAATGTTGTATCAGCCGACTCGATCTATTGATAGCGTGTCAGATTGGACATTGTTGGTTAATAAATCTATCTATTAAGAACATCATGGCGTCAACCACCCGCTATGTCTCCATCGGCTAATATAGCCGATGGCCTGAGCTTCCATGCGCATAACATGCCTTCATGATTTCTTTGCGATGTAAGTAGATCTATCGATTGTTGGTCTCTGATCTAGGGTCCTACTGTTAATGCTGCATCAGACGACTCGACCTGTTGACGGTACAATAGATTGAGCCTAGTTGTTTGTAGATTTGTTTGCATTCAACGGATGAGTGATCGTATGATATACGATAAGATCACCGGAATCGGTTGTTTTAGTCGATAGCCATGTATGTCGAGGATGTACTGGCTATTTACATGCTTTTACTTGTTCTTATCCTAGTTTAAAGCTAGTATGTTTTTTATATGTATGCTTACACGTCTACCCTTACATCTCTTGCATGTTTTCATCATCATCGACTATGTTAGATCCATGTAACCGAGTAAATAATAATTGTCGATATGTTTATTTTGTTTACATTACATCATGAACATGATGTATATCGACTCTTTAGTCGATAGCCTTATCTTGCTAGCCACTTGGCCATACATTTGGAACTGTCTAGACAAACACCGGCATGTTCCGCCATAAATTACTGATCAACTTTCTCTCCTTGTCAATTACAAGGTCAAATTGACTGGTACACCCTCGGTCACGACCATCTGGTCCAGAGTCCACTCCTAAGCCCGGAGAGAGCTCAGGATCTGCTCCGCGTGGTTTCTCTTGGCTTGCTTCGTGTGTGCGGCACCCGTTGCTTTTTCGCCATCCACACGATCTTGGCACGCCCAGTGGGACCATAATCGTTGATATGGATAATCAGGCAATCCTCAAGGTCAACCTTGAAGACCTACCTGATGACTAGAAGACACTCATTGAGCAGGCGACGGAAGAATTCAGAGAGAAGTACCTACTGTCTTACAGTAGGACACACAATTCAGTCGTTTAGAAGACTCCCCTACCAAGCGTCCTCCTGCATGGACAAAGTGAAGATGTTGAAGTAAGGACTACTACTCATTTGATCCATAAGACTATTTATGAAGCCTTTACAAAGCACAATAAAGGTGTTGGCCAACACGATTGGCAATGTTTTGAATGAAGTCTTCTTTGGAGCACCAACTGATCAAGTTGGAACAACATACTCTAATGACTTTAATCCTTCGGGTGTGGGAAGCAACATGCCTGGTTCTAGTCAGCAGCCGAATGGTGGGCACTTCCAACAGCCACCAATATAGTAGCTTCCAGGAGAACAGACTCAAGATAAGACCATGCAAATAGCAGGGGGGCAAAATCAAGTTCTGCCAACCGCAGGAGGGCAAGGTCAAGTCCTACCGATGGCAGGGGGCAAGCTCAGATGAAGGGGGCAACCACCAGAACAACAATCGCCAAGTGCCCCCATCACGCAGGTAGTTTAGCAGCCTACTGGACAAAATCAAGTTTATTTAGTCCAGCAGCCAAGCTCTCCAGCCACTTAGCAAGTTGTGCAACGGCCGACTCAGGGAAGATTCAATACTTCCTATCAAACGCCTCAATCGGTCCATAAAATTGCTCCATCGGTGCAGAGGATCATTAAGAATGTTGATCCTAATTACTTCAATAGTCGATTGCAAGGATATGCAACTCATAATGCTCAGATCGACTATCTAGAGGGATATCACCTAGTTTCTGATGCAAGAACATACGAGCTCATGCCACATCTAGGGTATTAGAATCCTTATAGTTATAATGCTCAGCAACTTTAGCAGCTTCAAGCCCAAGAGCAGATGTCTCTGGCTCAAAATCAACAAGTTCAAGTATAAGGATCTCAAACTCAGGCTTAAGGGCAGTTGAGATAGCAAGTTGTCGGCATGGATGCTGATGAGTTTGTCCATTGGATAACTGCCATGATGCAAAGCCAGTTCGGTCTAAACCTAAAGGACAGGTTGGCTCTTACCAGCGCCCATACCTAGCCTAGTATGATATTGTGCAACTCCCACCACGCTATAGTCCCAAATTTTTTCAAATTCACCGGGGTAGTTGAGATGACAACCATGGAAACATATCAGCAGTTATCTCGTCTAGCTTGGAGAAGCATCTATTGAGGAGGCACATAAAGTTAGATTCTTCCCCTTGTTCCTATCTGGACTGACCTTTAGTTGGTTTTCATCGCTAGAACCAAACTCAATCACTGAGTGGGCCAATTTAGAGAACAAGTTCTATGCATATTTCTACAGTGGGGTAGGAGAAAAGAGGATTACAGACTTGACAAGCATGGGGCAGAGGAACAATGAGTTAGGCTCTGAATTCATTCAAAGATTCAGAGAAGTAAGGGGCTGTTGCTACTCGCTGAATCTGTCTAATGGCCAATTAGCTGAATTGGCCCTTCAAGGGACGTCTCCATTAATCAAAGAGAAGTTTGATGGCTAGGAATTTTAAAGCTTGACCCATTTAGTTCAAAGAGTGTCTGTCTTTGAGAATCAGCATCGAGCCCTGCGTAAAGAGAAGTATTTGAAGGGTACTACTGCTATGACCGATCCCTATGATGTGGACTCTGATGGAGATGATCTAGAAGTCATGATCGCCGAATGGACATGGGGCAAGACTCCTATATCTTGTCCATGGGTGAAGGAAACAGAGAACACCTATGACTTTGATGTCAAGAAAGCCAACATGATCTTTGACTTGCTGCTGGAAAAGAAGCAATTGAGATTACCCGCAAATCATGTGATCCCTTCGGCTGAAGAACTCAAAGGGAAGAAATACTGCAAGTTCCATAATATTACTAACCACAGTACCAACGAATGCAGAATCTTCCGCTTTCACATTCAGAAGGCCATCGAGCAAGGAAAGATCAAGTTTGAGCCAGCTAAGAAACCGATGATGGACATAGATAAGCATCATCTCCTAGGGGTGCATATGGTAGAGTTCTAGTTGGCTAAGGGAAAGATGAAGGTCTTGATGTCGGCTACGTCCAAAGAAGACAGGTCGGTTGACCCCAAGGTTCAAATAACGACTAATGAGTATGAGAAGCTAAGAAGCAGCATAATCAGCAAAAGAGCCGGTATGATCAAGGTGAAACCACTAGAGCTGGTGCTATGCATCCTTGAGTGACATCTAGGATCTTGTTGAACAAGTGGCAACGACAGAAGGAGAACTACCAACGCCAGCTTGAAGAAGAAGAATATGAGCGTCGGTGCAAAGAAGAAAGGTATGAGAGAGAGCAAGCTGAGCTACATTGGAGCTGTCCTTTCTTCATACACTGCTAGAACAAAGGTTTGAAATTGCCTACAAGACGTAACTGCCCAGAGTGCAGTAATCAATATGCAGAGTTCAGGCAATCTCAAGCTAACCGCCGGTCCATCCATGAACGTTTGAGTTATCAATCCAATGACA